GCTGATGGTGGCGGATGGTGGATGGTGGATGGCGGATGGTGGAGGGTGGCTGATGGTGGAGGGTGGCTGATGGTGGAGGGTGGTGGAGGGTGGCTGATGGTGGCGGATGGTGGAGGGTGGCGGATGGTGGAGGGTGGCTGATGGTGGAGGGTGGTGGAGGGTGGCTCGTCGTCATCGTCGTGCTTCCAACACGGACGCAGCAGCAGCAAGTCTTGTCTCACCACGCAGAAGGAGACAACCATGGTCAAGGGCAAGCTGTCGGCACGCGGGCAGGAGCTGGTGGACTCGCCTGCGCTGATGGGCTACGTGCGCGAGCATTTGGCGCGGGTGGGGACCGAGGGCTACGTCCCGGCCTGCATCGCCGAGTCGGACCTCTGCTCCGAGGAGATGGCGGCGCGACTGGCGGCCGTCCCGCCCATGCCTCCGCACAACCTGCACTACGGCTCGATGGTGGGCGAGGACGCGCTCCGCACCGCTGTCCTTGGACTCCTTGTCCACGCGGGCGTGCTCCCGGCCGACGCCTTTACCGCACATCAGGTCGCCCTCGTCGCCGGCGTCGGCACGGCGCTGGAGATGCTGATGTACGCCATCGCCGATCCGGGCGAGGGCGTCCTGGTCCCCGCCCCGACCTACGCTGGCTTCTACATGGATCTGGGCACCCGCGACGAGCTCGCCATTGTCCTTGCGCAGCGCTCGGCCGACAACGAGTGGGCACTGACGCCCGAAGCGCTCGATGCCGCCTGGGACGCCGCCGACGTGCCGATCCGCGCCCTCTTGCTGTGCAACCCGGACAACCCGCTCGGCCGGGTGTACAGCCACGACGAGCTCACCACTGCCGTTGCCTGGGCTCGCGCCAAAGGCATCCACATTGTCGTTGACGAGATCTACGCCCTCTCGGTCTTTGCCGACAACGCCTCGTTTGTCTCGGCCGCCGCCACCCTCGGCCCGGACACGCTCGGCGATGACGTCCATCTCCTCTGGGGCTTCTCCAAGGACTTTGGCGTGGGCGGCCTCCGCTGCGGCGGCGTTCTCTCGCACAACAGCAACCTGCTCGCCGCCATCGACGGTCTCGGCTACTGGGGCGCCGTCTCGCGGCACACCCAGTGGGCGCTCCACCACCTGCTGGTCGACATGCCGTGGATTGACTCGTACCTCGCCACGTCCAAGTCCCGCCTCCGCGATGCCTACCAAGTCGTCACCGATGCCCTCGACGCCTGTGGCATCCCGTACGTCCCCGCCGTGGCAGGCATGTTCTTTGTCGTCGATCTCCGCCAGTTCCTCGACGAGCCGACCTGGGAGGGCGAGGCCCGCCTCTGGCAGCGGCTCCTCGACAATCACGGTCTCAACCTGACTCCGGGCTCGGAGCTCCGCGCCGCCGAGCCCGGCTGGTTCCGCCTCTGCTTTGCCGCCTTTGACGCCTCTGTCATCGCCGAGACCATGGCCGCCATCGAGTAGCAGTTGCCGCGCCACAACCGTAGCCACGGCTGGGCATGATGGATGGAGAATACAAGTTTTGCTGTTCGGGCGAGCCGGGCCGGTCACGGGGTGGTGGCCGAGTGGCCGGTGAGCGGCAGGCGGGCGGCGGGCGGCGGGCAGCGGGCGGCACTTGTCGCCGTTGGCAGGGAGAGAGAGACAGCTGCAGCGGAGACGGGCGTGGGGATGGAGAAGCTGTATGTTGGCGCGGGGAGGGGGAGAGAGGGAAGGAGGAGGGGAGGGAGGGGTACTCATGCATGGGTGACGGTCGGTGGGCGCTGGACTGGCGGTGGTGGTGGCGGTGGGCGGCGGCGGCGGTGGCGCGGCGGGGCGGCGGGCATGGGCAGGGACGACGGCGAGATCGAGTACACCTTTGCCAACGGCAATCGGTTTGTGGGGAGCGTGGTGAACGGGGCGTTCCACGGCAAGGGCACGCTGTTCTTGGCTGGCGGCGGTGCGTTTGTCGGCGAGTGGGCCGACGGCAAGGCCCTGTCGGGCGCGTACACCTTTGACGACGGTCTCGCCTACGCAGAGACCGCCTGGGACTACTGCTCCGAGGCCGATCGCAGGTTCCACTGCGAGCGCGTGACACACATTCCTCCTGCTGGTATGACCCTCTTCGCCAACCAGCCTCTGCCGGCGGACGGCGGCGAGAACGCGTAAACGATGCCAGCGCCTGTCGGTGCGCTCGGCCAGTGGTCGACCAGTGTGGCCTTTTGGTGAGGGTACGGGTGCGACAAGTGAGTGGCAGCCAGAGTGAGGTAAGCCCTCTCTAGCATCGTCACAGCAAGTAGCCACTTTACTCGGACGGCGGCCCGCCGGCAGCCGCATCCGCCTTCTTGCCGAGCACCCCACCGAACCGGGTCTTCGGCTTCTCCTCGGCAGCCTCGGCAGCACCATCGCCACTCGCTGTGGCTGACGCCACCGGCGCAGCTGCGCTGCTCGCTGTGCTGCTCTCGCTCGCCGGCAGAGGCATGGCCGCGGCTTGCGGGCTGCGTGAGAAGGCCCACCCAAAGCGCGGCTCGGCGCGCGACGAGAGCACGACCTCACCCTCGCCCTGAACACGGACCCAGCCGATGTCACGGACGCCTGAGATGGTGCGGCGGACCATGGCCATGGCCTTGGCCTGCCACGACGGCGGCGCGTCGTCGTCGCCACCGCCTAGCGCCGCCGCAGTCTCGTCGTCGTCGGGCGTGACCTGGCGCCGCAGCGCAATGCGGTCGTCCCAAGCCACCAGCCGCGACGCACGCACCACGTACGACTCGCCCGGCGCGAGCTTCAGCGAAACGAGCCCACCCTGGCCAGCGACAGCAACCAGGCCACGGCCCGAGGCGTGGGCGAGACGGACACGTCCGGCGCGAGCAAGCCCGGTCCACGGGCCCAGCCGCACGCCCTCGGTCGACGCCAGGAACGCTCCAGGCGCCATGCAGTACCGTGCAAAGCCATCGAGCTCCAAGAGCGCAATGTCTGAGAGCGCGGCCGGCGCCACAAGCGCGTCCGCCGGTGCGTCGGGCGCGGCAGCAATGCCCGAGACCACCAGCGGCGCGCCAGCCAGCACCCGCGACACAGCTGCACCCACCCCCTGCTCCGTCGTCGTCATCCGCAGCGCAGCCGAGGCCTCGGGCGAGTGGGCCACCACCGAGCCCGGCGCTGCAAGCACATGCCCGCCAGCCGCCACCGAGACTTGAAGTAGCGAGCCAAGGCCAGCCGACCGCACCGTGAACGACGCTTCGGACGCCGCCACCGCCGCCGCCGCGTGCTCCGCAGGCCCACCCACAGGCAAGTGGTTAAAGTCCAGGTCCGCAAACGCTGTACCTGCCGGCGACGTCCGCCGCGCCCGACCGCCCTCGGCCTTGCCCGCCGCCGCCCCGGTCGCCTCGCGCGTCGCCAGCGACACTCGCCGCACCGCGCCCGCCGCACCGCACAGCACTGCTCCGGTCGCACTTGCGCCTGTCCTTGCCAGCAGTCGGTGCACAAGCATGTTGAGTTGTTACTCGGGTGGAGAGAGAGAGAGAGAGGAGTGGCGTGGAGCGTGGACGCAGCAAGTGAGGGACCACCGTGGCTGGCTCGGATCGGGTGCCCGGACTCGGGCCGGCCAGGTTGTCTCCAGCTGGGAGGTTTTCGTCCGCTACTGCGCCAAAAAAGCAACTTCGCCCTCTCACACGTGGGTAGCTAGATAGATGGGAGTACGAGACAGACGTAGACATGTGTGATGAGCACGTGATGGGGACTGAGTGACGACCACGGGTGAAAATGGAGGCCCCGACGGACCAACTCTGATTTTGGCTTGTTGCATGAGTGCTGTATTTCTCACTATATTGTTATATAAATAAATAATTGTAAAAATATGTTTGTATATATGTGTGAGTACAAATTTAAATCGTGTATAGTTTTGTGTGTGGAGTTATATAAAAGTATTATTTTCGGTGATTTGGGATCAATTATTGATGTCATTTAGCGTCATTGGTGTCAACCCTGTCCAGGGAGCCAGTCCGCGACTCGCAGTTGCTTGCACTTGCCTTTTTCCTTCGCACAAACCCACATAGCACGCTCTGACCACAGACATCCGTTGGTCAGCTACGATTTCATCTAGATTGCCCTTCATCGCATGCGCTGGCCTCGCTACGGCTCCACAGCATTCCCCCCACCCGCTTGCTGCAGAAGATGAGCCACGTCGTCGTGTCCCGCCTCAACTGCAGCTCGATAAGCGTCGCAATTGTACGCGCTGGGATCGACACTGGGATGCTGGAGCAGGAGCGCCACCACACTCGCATGTCCATAGCGCGCAGCAGAGCGGAGCGCCCGGTTGGAGCGGACACTCGGATCAACCCGCGGGTCGGCAATCAGCGCCGCGACGGCCTCGCTGCATCCCTTCCCGCTTGCCACAGTCACTGGATAGTTGTTGTGGACGCCTGGATCGGCACGGCCGTCCTGGACCAGAAGTGCCACCACTGTGCCGTGGCCCCCCAAGGCCGCTAGCCGCATAGCCATGCTACCCTTTTCTGTTGGATCAACGTCAGCGTCTGCGAGAAGCGTCGCCACAATGTGGGTGTGGCCACACATCGACGCCGCGCGCAGTGCACCCTGCTCATACGCCGACACACTTGCTGGCGGCCCTCCATCGGCTCCGCTCCGCAGCTCGGCAACAAGCTCGGCGTCGCCGCGCGCGCACGCCACAACCAGGCAAGCGTTGCGGACAGCCTGGCCGCTCGACGCCGCAAGCTGACGCCCAAGTGCGAGCACGCCGTAGGACAGCACGAGCGCTGCCATCGGCATCGTGCCAAGCAGCGTCAGTCGCTCCAGTTGCGGGCGGACGCGACACGGCCCGGCTGATGCGCCCGCCGCCGCCAGTGCGCATACAAGCGCCGCCCACGCTGGCGACTCCGGCTCGCCGTTGTCGAGGACGGCGAGAACCAGGTCAGGCACAACCGGCGGCGCGTGCAGGGCGCGGGTAGCAAGAGCGCGCCGGGCGCCAGCCCACAGCCGATGCCGCACACACGCCACAAGGCCAGCCGTGGCATGCGCGGCGGCAGCCGACAGCGGATCGCCCAAAAGGACGCGGCGCATAGCACGACATGACGCAGCAAGAGCCACGATGTCGCGGGCGTCCAGGACGCGCGTCCCGTACGCAATGACGTGCACCAGCTCGTCGGGCAGAGCCACCAGCAGCGACCCTTGCGCTGCCATGTCACGGCTGTCGGGGGTTTGGGGGGGGGGGGGGGGGGGGTTGGACAGGGCGTGGGGCAGGGTGGAGGCGTGGGGCAGGGTGGAGGCGTGGGGCAGGGTGGAGGCGTGGGGCAGGGTGGAGGCGTGGGGCAGGGTGGAGGCGTGGGGCAGGGTGGAGGCGTGGGGCAGGGTGGAGGCGTGGGGCAGGGTGGGGTGGTCCAAATCGGAGGCACACCTGTCACTCCGCCTCCCTCCCCCCCTCCCCTTCAGCTTGGGGCTATGTCGATGTCGTTCGATATTTACAGCAAAGGTGACGTGACTGGCGAGTCGGCGGGAGAGGTCGAGCCCGAGGTGGTAACGGTGGGCATGAGGCCGACCGGGGAGGCGGCGGCTGCAGTGATGGCCTGCGAGAGCTCGGCGAGGTAGCGGGTGACAAACGAGTGAGCGACGTTGGTTGTCGTCCCGTTCGCCATTTCCCAGGCGAGCAGCAGCATGCCAGCGACCCGCCGATGACCAAGGAGCACCAAGCATGTGGCCGCCGTGTCGAGCTCGGCGCGGACAACCCCGGTTATGTTGCTCAGCACGAGCTCGAGCATGTCGACAACCTCTGGAGGCAGCGCCCATGTCTCGGTCGGGCCTGGCAAGTCGTCGAGGACTCGCGGAAGAAAGGCGACAACAAAGGCGCGGATGTCGAGCGGCGAGATAGGCTTGGTGGCGACGGCATCCATGCCGGCCGCGAGCGCCAGCTGCTGTGCCCGGTGTCGGCGGTCACTGCGCAGATCGGAAGTCGGGCACCCGAGCCGTCGGCGGCTTCACGCGCGCGCCATTTGCGGCTTGCGGTGAAGCCGTCCATAACTGGCATGTGGCAGTCGAGGAGGATGACGTCCGGAAGTCCGCTGCCACCGTCAGCAGCGGCGGCCTCCAGACTATCCAGCATGTCGGCTCCGTCGACCGCAACCGAAATGGCGTCGATGCGGAGCGACTCGAGGATGGCTGTGAGGACCATGCGATTGACCTCGAGGTCCTCAACCACCATGACCGAGAGGTCTGAGAGCGCCGTCGTCTGCAGCGCTGATGAGAGCAACGAGATGTGGTAGTGAACAACGGTGTCGTACGCCGAGTCCACGAGCTCCTCGTCGCTGATGGGCTGCTGGAGGATGGCTCGGAACGGCGAGCCCTGTGAGCCGAGCGGGCCCAGGCCCGCACTCGTGTCGTCGCCCGCCAAGCCCACGACGTACGCTTGGTCGTTGGATATCGGCGTCGCCGCCAGCAACGAGCGCAGCGACCGTGCGGAAGGGTCGTTGACATCGATAAGGATGAGCGTCGCCGCCGGCGGTCGTCGCGCAAGCGCCAGGATCCCTGCTGCTGTATTGGCCGCGCAGTCGACCGCGCCGGTTCCGGCCGCCTCCAGCGCCGCCTCTAGCGAGAGCAGCATCTCGTCATCCGGGTGAATGATAAGGACGTTGATGCCGGCAAGCACTCGGGTACCGAGCTTGTCTATCGCCTCAAACAGCTGCGATGTGACGACTAGCGGCGGTGTTGAGCTTGGGCAGGCGTCGCCCAGCCGATCGGCGGCATCGTCAGCCTCCTCGGGCGACTCGCTAACCGAGACGTTAGGAAGGACCTTGGCTCGGCGTGGGAGCGTGACTTGCGGTCCAAGTGGGATAGGATCCGCTGCATCCGCCGGAGTTGGAGTGCCGAGCAGTATCGAGGCCGGCGTCTGGCTTGCTCCGCTGCTGCTTGGAGCTGCCGCCATGCCGACAAGCGTGGCAAGCGCGTTGAGAAAGGGGATAGCCTGCAGCGGCTTGGGAAACTCGTGAAAGTACATGCCCTGGGTGAGTGCGGTGTCGATGAGCGCACGCGAGTCGTCGCCGACGTCACCTGAGACTGAAAGCACCACACACATGTCACGGAGCGGGCGATGGTTGTCGCGGGCGAGAGCTGCAAGAAGTTCGGGTCCAGAGAAGAGTGGCATGTGTCCGTCGAGAAGAAGGACCTTGTACGGCGAGTCGGTCCGTGCTGCAGCCTTGATAGCCTTCAGCGCTTCAAACGGCGAGTCGAGCAGCGTCACGTCAGGGCATCGGCCCTGATCGCAGAGGAAGCCCGAGAGAACGCGCAGGTTGGCCCGGTTGTCGTCGACACACATGATCTTCTGCTTGCGAAGCAGTGTAAGGTCCGGCATGGAGACCTCGGCGAGCGTCGACTCTCCCGGCAAGACGCCGACAACCATCGAGATGTCGACGGTTGTGCCCGAGCCTTCCTGCGACTCGACCTTAATGCGGCCGGCAAAAAGGTCGACAATCTCTTTGACAATGGCGAGGCCAAGGCCGGTCCCACCGTACTGTCGCGTGATGGACGTGTCCGCCTGCATAAAGGGAACGAAGAGCCGCTCTAGAACAGTCTGCGACATGCCGGCCCCGTGTCGCTCACCTTGATTTCCAGCCGCATCGGCTCCGGCCGCACCGCCGGTGCATCGGACGCTACACCCGAGTCGTCGTCATCATGGGCGGGTGTGTAGTTGGGCAGGTTGATCGAGTCCGCGTCGACCGGTGCGCTCGAGAGGCGCAGTGTAACAGTGCCCTTGGAGGTAAACTTGACGGCGTTGGAGAGGACGTTCATGACGACCTGCCGAATGCGGCCAGCATCTGAGAACAGCCGTGCCGGCAAGTCGGGCGCGAGGTCGACGACAAAGTCGACACTCGACGAAAGCACTCCGGCCGAGATGATGACCGCAATGTCGTCGATGGCGGTCCGGAGCGAGAATGGCGCATAGTCGAGGGTGAGCGCGCCGGCGTTTGCCCGCGAAAACGTGAGCACGTCCTCCACAATGGTAAGCAGCGACGATGCCGACCGGTGGATGACTTCCAGGTAAGACCGCTGGCGCTCCGAGAGTGAGCTCGAGAGCATAAGCGAGGTCATGCCCAGGATGCCATTCATCGGCGTCCGGAGCTCGTGCGACATGTTGGCTAGGAACTGTGCCTTGGTCTTGAGCAGCTCTTCGGTCTTTTGGCGCGCCGCCGCCTCGAGATTGGCCCGGTGCCGCTCCGAGACGTCGACGATGGCGACCGAGTAGCTCACGTTGAGCACGCCAAACCCGGCGAGCGTCTTGTCGATGGTGACATCAACCATTTGGCCCGGTGCGTCGTCGACGTTGGCGGCGGTCACATTGCGAACAGTTGCCGCTCCGTCCTTGACCTCGAGTGTGAGGCCTCTCATCCCGGGCTGGTCTCTCTGGGCAGAGACGAGAGCGTCAAAGGTGGCGGTTGAGTTAGATACCATGGCGTCGAGCACAACGTCCCAGACAATGCCGAGGGCCGGCAGAAAGATCCCCAACAACTCGCCACACATCTCGCTCTCGTCGGTCCGACCAAAGTGGCGGAGCGTCATCGGATTACACGAGGTGATGACACCGGAAGCGTCGGTGGTCACGTGCGAGTTTCCGGTCGCCTGCAACACTTCGCGCAAGTGCTGCTCTGACTCGCGCAGCTGCTGCTCGCGCTCGTAATGCTCGGTGACGTCACGCGCAACGGCGTAGAGATACCTTGAATCGGCCGACGACGACCAGCGGAACGTCCGGTAGCTCCCGTCCTTGCATCGATAGCGATTAACAAACGAGACAACCTTCACGCCATGGGCAAGGCCGGACGCCGCCTCGATGGTTGGCGCCCGATCGTCCGGGTGGATAAACGAGATGTACGGGTTGGCATAGAGCTGTTCCTCGGTGTAGCCGAGGACACTGGCCCACACAGGGTTAATCCGCACAAAGTAGCCCTTTTGGTCGGCGAGGCAGAGCATGTCCAACGACTTTGTGAAAAAGTTGAGCAGCGGTGCGTCCTTCAGCGCCTCGTACGTGCACGAGCCCATCAGCAGTAGCTTCTCGGCCTCGACCGCCATCACCGAGAAGGAGACCGGGCCAAAATCGGATGCGACCACCAACCGCCCGGCCTCGCCCTGCGGCTCGGGGTGCTGAGCAAGGTACGCCGCGACTGCCTCGACCTGGACCACCATTCCGGCCTTGTCTGTCAGTGTGGTAAACTCTTGGTTGGCAAGCAGGACATCCACGCCGCCGCTGCCGTCTGCTTCCCCATTGTTGCTGCTCTCACTCGCCCCGCTCGCCAGCCCTGCGGGTGACCAAGTGTTCGGTGACACGGTAGCCGCGGACATGGGTGGCCGAGCGACCACCACCATGGGCACCACCGCACACCGGACGATCTGCTCCAAGTCCACGCGTTCCATTGATGGGTGGAGTGTGGTAGCGAAGGCTGTTGACGGAGGGGGGGGGGGGGGGAGGAGGAGGAGGACGTCCGTGCGAGTCGGCGGCTTGACAGCCTTCTCATGTCAGACGGTGTCATTGCAACGTCTGCAACACGTCCAAAAGGGACATGGGGAGAAAATTGGCTCAGCGGGTAAGTTCTGGTCATCGGTCTGCCGCGGATTTTTTTTCGTCCACTGGTTGACCGGTCACCGCCGCTTGGACGGGCGCGGCGAGGTGGAATCGCCGGGTTGCCGACAGCGCTTACGGGAAGTAGGGGGGAGCGAGGTTGAAGGAGGGGGTGGCGTGGGCGAGGGCGGGAGCAAGGACGCCGATGAGGCCGAGGATGAGGATGGGTTGGCGCTAGGGTGGCTCATCATGCCATACTCGAGATGTGTGCGCTGGAAAGACCATATACGTTCCACCTCTGCAACGAGGGCGGCGCCGCGCTCGCGGATGTACGTCTTGCCCCAGGCACCGCGGTAGAGGCGTTCAGCAATGGTGATGTTAGCCGGAAAGGCCGAGCCGTTGGAGCTCTGGACCGGCGCGTACAGCTTGGCCTTGGAGGTCGGCGCTTTCCGGCCGCAGCGACGATTGATGGCGGCCTCGAGAATGGTGAGGTTGCCGATGTGGCAGCGGAGCAAGGTCTCGGGGCCCTCGTCGGGAATGGGGTCAGCGAGAGCATCCCATGAGCCGCAGTCGTTCATCGGCCACACGTGTTCGATCTGCGGCTTGGTCTTGGTGTCGGTCTCATGCATGAGCGTGAGCGGATCCGGCTCGATGCCAGCGGCAAGGAGGAGCGTCGTCATCTGCTCCGGGTCGATGAACTTGCTCTGCAGCCCTGGGTCGTCTTGTGCGAGCATCCGGCCGCCAGGTGTCTTCAGGAACGCTTTGTACCCGCAGTGGAGGTCCCGGGTGGGTTGCATTTGGGCCTTGTGCCTGAGCTCGATGTAGAGATGGTCAATCTCGGCGACAATGTCGTCGCTCGAGCCGTTGACCATTTTGATGGTCGTCTTTTCCAAGGCCGAGCGACCTTGGCGATTGTCGACGGCGCGAAGGAAGAAGAGGTGCAAGTTGCGGCATAGTATGAGCCGGATCATCTCGCAGAGTGTAGTGGAACGGAACCGAGCTGCTGCCTCTGATGTGAAGCTGGTAAACTCAGAGTGGCGCGAGATGAGCGGCGCGAGGACGACGGGGACAATGCGACGGTATGCGTCATGCATGCCGCCGCTCGAGGCAACAGCCCGGGTATGCAGCAGAATGTAGCTGCGGAGATGGGTGACAAACTGGGGATCGGTGCCAAAGTAAGTGATGATCGATGCAAAGGTCTCGCTCGAGCGAGCGGCGTCCGAGACGGCGTGGCATCCGACGGTCGGCTCGAGCATGGTGGCGACAAGGGTGGCGACGACCAGCTCGTGGCAGAAGCGAGTAAAGAGGGTTGTCTGATCGGACAGCGTC